TGATGTTGGCAGACTGACAGGGAAAGGCCCTTGGCAATGAAATTTAGGTCAAAAAAACTTCTGGCAGGAAAATTCTAAGGCTGATTCACCTTGTGGATACGGAAAACAGAGACTTTCAGCAGTGGACCCTGAGGAGATTGGACCCTTCCTCAAGAAGATCCTCAAATCCTCTGACCTCTTCCTTAATCCAATTAACTTTAGTGATTCAGCCTCAAGAAGACTCCAGAACGATCTGGATCAGGACAACCCAAGAAGAGCCTATAAAAGCCACTTTGAACAAAGGAAGACCGTGCATATGTTGCCTGAACCCTTGTGCAGCTTTTGCCCACATGGCCGAGCACATGTGTCGCCCGCATCTCTGCATCTTCTCCCCTCTTGAGATGTGTACTTTCATGTCTAATGCTGGGATATATTTAGGGGTTCTCTCTCTCTCTCTCTCTCTCTCTCTCTCTCTCTCTCTCTCTCTCCATTCTTGGAGAAGCCCGCATTCTCTTGAGTGCGTTAACTCTCTCTGCCTCACTCCCCCGCAAAACCCTTCCAAATAAAATCTAATTACTTCACTGCTTGTCTACTCCTGAAATTCCTTTCTGCGAGGCGAGACAAGAACCCAGTAAACCTGGGTCCCAGATGGCAGAGGCGGATGGGGAGAAAGTGACTGTCTTTTTTTTTTTCTTTTTGGGTCACACCCGGCGATGCACAAGGGGTTACTCCTGGCTCTGCACTCAGGAATTACCCCGGGCAGTGCTCAGGGGACCATATGGGATGCTGGGAATCAAACCTGGGTCAGCTGCATGCAAGACAAACGCCCTACCCGCTGTGCTATCGCTCCAGCCCCTAAAGTGACCCTCTTTATCCTCCCCGCTTCACATCAGTCACTGGTGGGGCCCACCAACAGGGGCCCACCGACATCACCCCTATAAAAAAAGAGAAAAAAATCTACAAAGAAAATCATCTGAGAGCAGAACATCAACAAAAATATGCATGAATACGCATGCATGCAAACACCAGGAAAATGACCTGGTTTTTGAGAGCTTCAGGGAGGGAGGGGGGAGGGGCGCGCCCCAACTTCCCCTCTGCCTTTCCTGTTGTGTCACTACAAGCAGGAGTTCTGGGCAGCCCCCAGGAAGTCCGCAGAGAACACAGGCCGCTGTGACCCAATGGGATGAGTACTCGCCCTTGTTCTGCACTCCCCACCCAGCACCCCTGTTGCTTCTCCACCCTGGGATTCCCATTTCCCGAAGGAGGAGATGGAGAGATTCATCCAGCTCAAAGTGGAGACTTGGCTGCATGGGCGCGGCTGTAGATTGCCTGATCTTTCCATGACCTCAAATCTCAGCTCCTCTGATGATTTTCTAGAACCCCTCCTTCCAGAGAGGGGTTCTAGCGGGTTAGGAGACAGGTGTTCCTTGCTTAGCTGAATCTTTGATGAGTTCCTTTCCCCCCCCCCCCCCCCCGTGCTAGCATTTCTTCATCTGAAAAATCGGTATGCCTAGCTTTTCTTCTTTTTGTTGCGTGGGGCTCCACCAGACCACTCTCCGACCCGTGGAGATGGCCCTAGGGTCCGTAGGTGCAGGAAGGGACCGACTGAATGAACACAAGACACAAGAGACACAATGCAGAGAAAACAGGACAGAGCAGACAGGACAGCAGATAGGACAGGACAGAACAGAACTTTATTCAGGGCAGCAGGGGCTTAAATACCTATCAGTACAGGAAAAGCACAATGCAGTTACACAAAAAGGGTCATGTCCATCTATGGTTAGGACTATATGTTTGACATACCATGCATTACAAAGTTTATACCAAGTTAATCATTGTCAGTTACAGCCATGACAGATGTTTTCTCAGGACAACCATACATCAGGATAACCATACATCAAGATAACCATACATAGCACATGCTGTGCCTACCGCTGGGTCGCATAGGTCAAGATGACCACACATAGCACAGGCTGTGCCTACCGCTGGGTCGCATAGGTCAAGATGACCATACATAGCACAGGCTGTGCCTGCCGCTGGGTCGAATAGGTCAAGATGACCATACATAGCACAGGCTGTGCCTGCCGCTGGGTCGAATAGGTCAAGATGACCATACATAGGACAGGCCCGTAGGCCCTTGGTCAGTTAAAGGGCCAGCTTCCCACATTTTTCTTGTTTGATTTTGGGCCACACGTGGTGGTGCTCAGGGTTTACCCCTAGGTCTGTGTTCAGCGATCATTCCTGGCGTCTTCTGAGGTCCCTGTATGGTGCTAGGGATCAAATCGGGTTGGCCTTGTGCAAGGCAAGTGCCCTAGCTCCAGTTTCTATAACTATTTTTTTAAAAAAACTTTTTGGGTCACACCTAACAATGCTCAGGGTTACCACTGGCTCTGTACTCAGGAGTTACTCTGAGAAGTAGTCAGGACCATATGGGATGCTGGGGATCTAACCCAGGTCGGCCGTGTGCAAGCACACGCCCTACCCACTGTACTATGGCTCCAGCTCCAACATTTTGTCTTTATTTGCGGGCCACATCTGGTGATGCTCAGTTTAACTCCTGGCTCTACACTTAGGAATCATTCCTGGTGGCACTCGTGACTCTATGGTCCCCTCCACAAGAGATAGGGAAGTCCAAGTCTCCTCCGCAGCGCCTCCACCGACCCCCAGAGGGCGCAGCGTCATCAAAAGCGCCTCCAGAAACCAAAAGGAAGCCCTAGTGTGTTCAGTGCGCAGGCGCACTGTGGGCCTGCCCATTGGCTCCACGGCGGGCAGAGGGGCGGGGAGCGGGCCGTGACGTTGGCGTGCGCAGGCGCAGAGGCACTTCAGGCCTAGGAAGGCGCCGCAGACCGGAAGTGGATTTGCCCATGCTAGCGAGGTGAGGGGGGGCGGGGCGCCGTGGCGGCAGCTGCCGGCTTGGAGTGGGGCGGGTTGCGGGGACCTCCCGGGGGCGAGCTCCGAGAAACTTCGAGGGAGTGCGAGGAGGGAAACAGTTTTATTGAGAGTCAGGGAGCCGGAGGCTGATGGGGTTCGGGCGCGGCAGGGGCGCGCAGGGCGGGAGACGCGTGGCCACACCTGGGGCTGGGGAGGTGCAGGGGCCGGGGGCCGCATCGTAGAGGAGAAGTGGCGGGACGCGACCCTCGGGAGGGAGAGCGGGACTCGGGGAGTCGACGAGGCCGGGGCCGGGCACGGGGCGGGGGCAAGCAGCCCTGAACGGGGACTGGGGGGGGGGGGGGGGCATAGAAGGGCAGCGACAGAGCTGGGGGAATTAGGGCAAACGGCTGAGAAGTCCAGGGTCTCGTTTGAATACGGAAGTGGGGAGCCAGATTGCGAAAATGCACATTTCAAACATGGGACAAGGGGGCCAGGGATGGGGGATAGAGGCGCCAGCATCACGCGGTGACTCGGGTTTGATCCCTGCACTCCCTGAACAGCGCTGGATGTAGTCCTCAAACCCACCCCGCTCCCACTCTCCCCTAAACAAAGGGAAATGAGAGAGGGCAAGAGCCAAGGGTAACCCCTGACCACTACTGCGTGTACCCCTTAAAAAAAACATTAACCGAAATGTGCCCCTCCAAAAAACATGAATGAAAATAAACCAGATGCCATTAAAAGAAAGAAAAAGGGGAGTAGACAGCATCCCTGACTCAACCCCCCCATACCTTGCATGACCCCCCCAGTATTACAGGGTATGGTTCCACTTGCCCTCAAAAATAAAGGAAAAAAGGAGCTAAATGAAGCCTGAATCCCAAGATTTGCATTACGCTGCCCTGTGCTGCTTCCTTTACCAGCACTCAGTAAAATGATGGTGTGACGAGCAGGGAAGACAGGCAAGCATTTCTGTCCCCTGTGGCCCCCTAGAACACTGCCAGATTTGGCCTGATTGCTCGTGAGCACCATCAGGAGAAAATGGAGCACCAAACCATCTGTTCCTGGCACTGCTTATGGTCCCCCCTGAGCACAGAACCAGGAGTCAGCCCTCAGCACCTCTAGGTGTGGCCTGTGTTCTATCCCCCAAATAATAAAGATTAAACCCAAATAATAAAGATTAAACTCATGGACAGCAGGTAGGGCACTTGCCTTGCGTGTGGCCGACCTGGGTTTGATCCCCAATACCCCATATGGTTGTTCGAGCCCTGCCAGGATTGATCCCTGAGTGCAGAGCCAGGAGTCAGCCCAGAGCACTGCTTGGATGTGACCCAAAAGACCAAAGTCTCCCTAAGGGCCAGTTATAGGGGCAGCTGATCATTGGCAGTCCTTGGTCACGTGTGTTCAAGGAAAAGTGGTGATTGGCAAGACATTTGTCCTTTTTCGAGCCATGAGGGACAACGGTGGGCAGAACTGCATGGTGGACTCCGGAAGGGCTGCCCTCAAAGGTGGGCGCTGTTTCCATAAGAGGTAGATAGACGCTGGATCAGTAGGACAGTGGGGAAGGTGTTGCCTTGCATGCAGCTGCCGGGCTCTGCCTGTCACCCTCCATGGTTCCCTGAGCCCAGCTAGGAGAGACCCCTGAGCACAGCCGAGTGTGACCCAAAAACAAAGTAGGCAGGAATAGGCCTCCCAGAGGGAAACAAAACGACCTCACAGGGGAAGTAGTCTCCAGCTTCCTGGTGTCCTAACCCCTGACCCCTCATCTTCTCACGTCCCTCAGATCCTCATGACCGGACTGCAGTGGGGGTCGAGGCCTGGTAAAATGCCTGTCACCTTGGCTTGTGGCCGCTTGGGGAAGGTTTGGGGTCTGGTGTGTGGCTGCATCTCCCTCTAACCTATTACGTGACCCGTGTTTACCGTGACACATGAACACCTTCCTGTTTCCCTTCTAAACACTCAGGGCCTGCCGACCGAGGAGAGTGAGCCTGTGTGACCCGCAGACACCTGTCCCGGAGTCGTGAGGTCCCTCTGTGTCACCAACTCTGACCCGCTCTGCCGCTCATCACCTGGGGTGGTTCTGTGCCCTCGGCATCGAGGACCATCAGCTCTTGGAGAAGGTGGTTGGTGCCTGGTGCAGACTCAGGCATGGGGGGTGCGTGAAAGCCCCATACCGGATGTGCTCAGGCCTGGCGCGGTGAGCTTCCCGCAGCATGCCTCCTCCCAGAGCCAGGGAGAGCGGGGAACCCCGAGCCCGGCACCATGCCCCCCGGGAGGAGGCAGCCTGCCAGAGCTGGGACTGGACTTGCCCGGAGACGCGCCGGCTCTTTGAGGAGGCCTTCTTTGGTGAGGGGGACTATATCCACCAGGGCTCCGAGGAGTGCCAGAAGTTCTGGACCTTCTTTGAGCACCTGCAGAGATTTCACAGTCTCCGGACAGCCCACCGGGAGGAGAAGGACCATGGGCAGGCCACATCCAAGGTCCCGGCATTCGCTGACCTGCCCCGCACCTATGACGCTCGCTACCGCATCAACCTCTCCGTGCTGGGGCCCGACACCCGGGGCTCTCGGGGTCCCGGCAGCCAGCTACCCCCAGACCGGGTGTCTGAGTTCCGCCGCGCCCTAGTCCACTACCTGGACTTTGGGCAGAAGCAGGCGTTTGGGCGGCTGGCCAAACTGCAGCGGGAGCGGGCGGCCCTGCCCATTGCCCAGTACGGGCAGCGCCTCCTGCAGATGCTGAAGGAGCACCAGGTGGTGGTGGTGGCAGGTGACACAGGCTGTGGCAAGTCCACGCAGGTGCCCCAGTACCTGCTGGCTGCGGGCTTCAGCCACGTGGCCTGCACCCAGCCCCGGCGTATCGCCTGCATCTCACTGGCCAAGCGCGTTGGCTTCGAGAGCCTGAGTCAGTACGGCGCCCAGGTGAGTGGACAGCGCCCAGTCACCAATGTCACCCAGGCTGGCCCTCCAACCCAGCAACCACTGTTGTAGAAATTTCTCTACAGGCTGGCTCAGAGGTGGTGCAGATGATAAACATCACTAACAGCAAGCAACTGGAAATGTCTTAAATGCTCATCAGCCTTCTCTTCTCTTTTGTTGGGGAAGGGACTGCTCTTGGCTCTGTACTTGGGGTTTATTCCCAGCTCGGGATGCTGTGGTTCTGGGGATGGAACCCGGTGGTCCACCATGGAACATGCTCAGCCCGGTGAGCTGTCTTTCTGGACCTTAATTCTTTGTTTTTGTTTTGGGGGGCCCACTTAGTGGTGCTCAGGGCTTTCTTTTAGCTCTGTGCTCAGGGGATCACTGCTAATGTTGCTTGGGGGACCATCTTGGGTGCCTGCGATTGAACCTAGGCTGGCCACATGTAAGGCAGATGCTCCACCCACTGTACTATCACTCTGGTCCCTCAATCTTTTATTTATTTATTTTTGCTTTTTGGGGGTCACACCCAGCAATGCACACCCAGTAATTCCTGGCTCTGCACTCAGGAATCACTCCTGACCATTCTTGGGAGGCCACATGAGGTACAGGGGATTGAGCCTGTGTTAGCTGTATGTGAGGAAAACACCCTCGCCACTATACTATCACTCTGGCCCCTCACTCTTTTTCTTAAGAGGGCACTAATTAACAGTCCTAGTAATAAACAAGGGTTTATAGGGTGCTGATCCTCGCTCTTCCACTTCAGTTACTGAAGTTCGGGCCAGAGTGATAGAACAATGGGTAGTGCATTTGCCTTGCATGTGGTGGACCCGAGTTCGATCCCTGGCATCCCTTATGATCCCCCAGGCACTACCAGGAGTAATTCCTGAGTGCAGAGCCAGGGGCAGTAATCCCTGAGCATCACCGAGTGTGACCCCAAAAGCCAAAAAAATAAAAGAATGTTATTGAAGGACTCAGTATAGCGGGGAGGACACTTGCCTTGCATATGGCCAACCTGAGTTCAGGCTCCAGCACCCTGTATGGTCCCTGAGCCCTGCAGGAGTCAGCCCCAAGCACTGTTGGGTGTGGGTCTGGTTCTGCTGCTCAGTGCCAGCCTGTGGGATTCATCCGTGGGAGAGCAGGTAGGAATGGGCTCTCGTGCACGGTGTACAGCATGAACCCACGCTGCCTCCTTCCTTCCCGCCGTTGATGGGAGTCACACACACGCGCGGGGCCTCAGCTCGCAGAGGGCCTTGCTCAGAAGTTCGGTTGCAGGGACTGGGGCACCCTCCAGGCCCACACTCCCTTCCCCTCCCCTTGGCCCTGCAGGTTGGCTACCAGATTCGCTTTGAGAGCACGCGCTCGGCCGCCACCAAGATCGTGTTCCTGACGGTGGGGCTGTTGCTGAGGCAGATCCAGCGCGAGCCGGGCCTGCCCCAGTACCAGGTGCTGATCGTGGACGAGGTGCACGAGCGGCAGCTGCACAGCGACTTCCTGCTGGGGGTGCTCCGGGGCCTGCTGCCGCGGCGGCCCGACCTCAAGGTGGTGCTCATGTCCGCCACCATCAACACGGCTCTCTTCTCCACGTACTTCGGCGGGGCCCCGGTGCTGCAGGTTCCCGGGCGGCTCTTTCCCATCACGGTCAGTGCTGGCCCCTCGCGGGCTTCCATCTCCTCCCTCCGTGGGTTTGGAGGCCACACCTGCTGGTGCCGAGGCTGCTCCTGGCGGGGCTCAGGGGACTTTGTACCGTGTGGGAGATCAACTCCGGTCAGCTCCGTGCAAGGCTGGCGCCCTTCCTCTGTCCTTTCTTCTCCCCACCCACAGCCCTCACTTCTCGTCTTTTCCATGAAGGCTGCATGCTCTTCCCCCTTTCAGGGGGAGAGTGGTGGAGGGGAGTTCTCCCCAGCAGTGCTCACTGGATCTGGGAGTTGCTCTCAGCAGTAATTGCCTCAGTTATGCTGATGTGATGTTGGGGGGGGGTGCTCTGGGGTACTGTGATTTGACCTCTACCCCCCAAGACATGCCAAGCATCTCCCTGGTCACTGAATCATCTCCCCGCCCTTCCGTTTTGCACACACTTGGCGTGTAGGTTTGATCCCTGGTAGCACAGATCCCACAAGCACTGAGCTGGGAGTAAGAGCCAGGCCCCGCAAATGAGAGAGTCATCCCAGCACCTGGAGCCCCCCAGTGCCACGCTGCTGTGTCTCTGTGATGTCCCGACCCCGTCCACATGTGGCCCATTCCCTCCGTGCATGACTGGGCTGCAGCGACAGGGCACTGTCCCCTCACAGGTCATATACCAGCCACCGGAGAAGGAGGCAGCCGGGGCCACGTCCAAGCCTGAGAAGCTGGACCCGCGGCCTTTCCTGCGGGTGCTGGAGGCCATCGACCACAAGTACCCGGCCGAGGAGCGGGGGGACCTGCTCGTGTTCCTCAGCGGGATGGCCGAGATCAGCTCCGTGCTAGAGGCCGCACAGACCTACGCAGCCAGCACGCAGCGCTGGGTGGTGCTGCCCCTGCACAGTGCCCTGTCTGTTGCTGACCAGGACAAGGTAACGTGTGTGTGTGTGTGGGGGGGGAGGGTCTGCAGGAAGGCCCAGCATGGCCCCCAGTACCCCAGGGGCAGCTCATGGGGGGAGGCAGGCCAGCAGCAGGCTGCCTGGTTGCCAGCACTTGGAGGGGGACTGGGGGGCTCATGTCTCAGGCACCAGAGGGTCCTCGAGCACATCAGTTTCCTCGTGCAGGTGTCGCATGGTCTTTGAGGGTACTTTGCCCCCGACACCCCTGTAGGGTCCCATGATCCCTGAGCAGCCGGGGGATGCCCAAACACTTGCCCCCTCCTCCACTTGCCTGGAAAAGCAGGGTTCAGAGGAATATAGGCAAGCAGGGGTCCTCAGTGCCTGCTCACCTGCCCCCAGGTGTTTGATGTGGCGCCCCCTGGAGTCCGGAAGTGCATCTTGTCCACCAACATTGCTGAGACCTCGGTCACCATTGATGGCATCCGCTTTGTGGTGGATTCTGGTAAGAGCCACTCCAGGGTCCTGGCCAGCAGCATGGGGTTTGAGATGTGTGCATCATGTCGTGAGGGCTCCCCCACCAGCCCCCAGGCTGGAGCAGATTGTGGGCGCCATTCGGAGCTCTGAGCTGTGGCCGCACCTCACCCTTTCTCAGACGCCCCAGCGTGGCTTGCTGCAGGGCCTTTGCACGTACTTGACTCCACTGAGGCTGTCTTTCTCCACCGAGCCCTGCACCCTGATCCTTCTCCTCCATCCAGGCCTTGCATAAAAGTCTCCCCACTGAGGGGCCAGAGCAATAGTACAGCAGGGAGGGAGTTTGCTTTGCACACAGCCAACCCAGGTTCGATCCCCAGCATCCCATTTGTTCCCCTGAGCACCGCCAGGAGTGATTCCTGAGTGCAGAGCCAAGAAAAACACCTGAGCATCACTGGGTGTGGGCCCCCTCCCAAAAAAAAAAAAAGAAAAAGAAAAGTCTCCCCACTGGGGAGGCCTCCCTTGCCCCCCTCCCCCTGAGTGCCAAGGTCCCCTGGAGCTCAGACATTGGTGTCAGCCCAGATACCCTTGACTGTCTGTCAGGTCACGGTGCTGGAACATTCCACCACTCACATGCCCTGATGGAATCTGAGTAAAGTGCTCAGCGTCACACAGACTTGCAAGTCCTGTGGAGTTCTGGGTGCTGCCCATCTCCCAGCACTGCAGCAGGCCAACCGGTGGCTCTTAGGGTACAGGGGATAAAGTGATGGGTGCTGGGTCCAGGGACCCTGGGCTTGCCGCTGTGCCCTCTGCCTGGTCACAGACCTGGCCTGGAGTAACTGCTCAAGTGTATGTCACCAACACTAAAGAGAACAAAGGAGGGAATGAGAGAGGAAGTGGACATGCCGTTGGGGTCAGTCCCAGGCCTCCGGGCGAGCCTGCTCCCCTCCCCACTTGCCCTCTGTCCCCCAGGGAAGGTGAAGGAAATGAGCTACGACGCGCAGGCCAAGCTGCAGCGGCTGCAGGAATTCTGGATCAGCCAGGCCAGTGCCGAGCAGCGCAAGGGCCGTGCCGGCCGTACTGGACCCGGCGTCTGCTTCCGGCTCTATGCCGAGTCTGACTACGATGCCTTCGCCCCCTACCCTGTCCCAGAGATTCGGAGGGTCGCCCTGGACGCGTTGGTGCTGCAGGTGAGCACATGGCAGGGAGGGTTGTATCGCCTGGGGGCCAGGGCTGGGGGGGAGGGGCGGGAGGTGGGTCAGCTGCACCCCATGTGTTAGGGCCAGGAAAGGCCACTTTTGGTCTTACGCAGTTTGGAGAATGTTTCCATTACCCTCAGTCAGAATGCTCAGCTGACACCTCAGTGAGATGTACTTTTAAACTGGGGTTTCTAGGGCCAGAGCAACAGGACAGTGGGGAGGGAGTCTGGCCTTGCACACAACCGACCCAGGTTTGACCCCCAGCATCCTGTAGGGTGCCCTGAGCACTGTCAGGAGTAATTGCTAAAAGCAGAGCCAGGAGAAATCCCTGAGCATCACTGGGTGTGGCCCAAAAACAAACAGAAAAACAACACTGGGGTTTCTGGACCTGAGAGCAGGAGGGAGGGCACGAAACGTGGCGTGTGCATGGTGTGTGCAGCAACGGCCAAGATCCTGGTTTGATCCCTGCTATCACATGTTCCCCTGAGCACTTCTGGGAGTTACCCCTGAGCACTGAGCCAGGAGCAACCTCTAAGGCACTGCTGGATGTGGCCCAAACAAAAAACCCATGGGGTTTCTTAGGGGCTGGAGAATGGTGCAGTGGGTAAGGCTCTCACCTTGCACATGCCAACCCAGACTTGAGTCCTGGCACCACATGAGTCCCTGGAATACTATCAGGAGTGATCCCTGACCCCTGAGCACAGAGCCAGGAATTGACCCTGAGCACTCCAGGAGTGTTCCAGCCCCCCAGAAAAACTCGCCAAATCTGGGGCTTCTTGGGGCTGAGAAGCTGGCCAAAGGCTGGCTCACAAGTTCTTCATGAGTCAGTCCCCAGTACTGCATGACCCGAGTGCCACTGGGAGTGACCGCTGGACACCTCTGAGTGTGGCCTCCAAACCCTCCCCGCCAAAATTCCTAAAACAAAATTCTCAGTAGATTTGATGCAGTGGTGTGAATCTCAGGAGTCAGCGTTGCTTGGTTTGGCAGCTGTAACAGATGAGCCACTTACAGAATGACCAACATGCATTTTATTGTATTTAGTGTTTTTATTTGGGGCCACCCCCAGTGGTTCTCGGGATGCTCCCAACTCAGTGCTCAGTGGTGGCGCCTGCATGCCAAGCACGTGCTCCAGCCCATGGGGCATCTCTCTGGCCCTGTACATTCTATTTTTCAAATTCTTTTTGGTGGGGGTGGGGGTTTCCAAACGGTGGTCAAGGGGGATAGGGGGTGACAGTTCTCAGCCTACCCTGGGCAGTGCCCAGCGGGGTCTCGTGTGCTGGGGATAGGACAGAGGTCAGGCATGTGCTAGCCCTGCCCCGCCTCCCCGTCCCCGCTGACTTTTCTGAGCCAGCATTTCCACTTTCCCTTCCCTGTGTGGCTTGCTGGTGACGGTTGGCATGCTCGACTGTGGAGGGCCCGATACCACATTCTAACCTCAGTGTGGCTGGGACCACACTTGGCACATCACGGGGTGCTGGCTCTGCTCTACCACGAAATCATCCCTAGCCGGATATTTTTTCTCTCACCCTCTCCCTCACCCTCTCCTTTGTTTTGTGGCTACACCCGGCAGTGCTCAGGGCTTATTCCCTGATTAGCGCTCAGGAATTACTCCTGGCAGGGCTTGGGAGACCATATAGGATGCTGGGGATCAAACCCTGGGCTGGCCATGTGCAAGGCAAGGGCCCAACCTACTCTACAGTCGCTTTAGCCCCACCCCAGTTTCTCTTTTTCGTTGTTTCTGTCAGTGCTGGGGATTGAACCCAGTGACTCTGGGCAAGGCACCACTTTGTCCCGAGCTGTCTCCCAGCTACCTATAACTCTGGTTTTTAAGGCCTGGGGGATGCTTTCCTGGAAGTCCCCCAGCTGACCTCCTGTTCTGTCTAGGCTCAGCCAGGTCACATGTGCACTGTGACCCCAGGCTTCAGGAGTGTGGCATACCTGCCCCCAGCCCCTAACATAAAGGTCCTGAACAAGCCCTGAGTCCTGAACAAGCCTTGCAGACATCACCAAGCATGGTGGACTGATGGCCAGGGGCACTGGGACTTCTGGTCAGGGCCAGACCAGCTGGTCGCCTTACTCAGTGAGAATGGCTGAGTCCCAGGACTGGCTGTGACTTCTCTGCTCTCAGATCACCGACCTGCCCAGAGGGCCTGGCCGTTATCCACTGTACCAGACCAGCTCCGGTTCTCTTTTGGGGCCTTCCAAGTGGTGCTCAGGGAATCTGGGGTCCCTCCTGGCAACTGGTGGGCAACAGGGCCAGCAGTTCTGTGCAATGTCCTGAGAACCAGATGTGGCAGATGTGGCTCGGGCCATGCAGTGCTTGGGGGCAGCCAGGGCTGCACCCTGGGGTGCTCGGGATTGTCTTGGGACCAGCCCAGGGGCACTGCCCGTCCTTCCTTTGGTAGGGCAGGAGCTGAGAAAGAGATGGGTGCGCTGTGATCCCACCAGGGCCTCAGGGGTGGGGTGGGCAGGCAGACAAACCAGTGGACAGACAGGTGGTGGCACCATCTCTGCCTCTTAACCAGCAGGCTTGCATGGTGATCCTGGAACCCCAGCTAGTTCCACGGTGGCTCGTGAATGCCCCATTGCTGGGGGTTGCTTCTCATTGCAGATGAAGAGCATGAGTGTGGGGGACCCCCGTACCTTCCCTTTCATCGAGCCCCCACCAGCTGCTAGCCTGGAAACGGCCATACTCTACCTCCGGGACCAGGGTGCCCTGGACAGCTCAGAAGCCCTCACCCCCATCGGGTCCCTGCTGGCCCAGCTGCCTGTGGATGTTGTCATTGGTAAAGGTCCCCTTGAAGGCAACCTGACTGACCCAGGGGCCACCACTTCCTTCCCGGTCCCTCCTCTTCCTGTCCCAACACCGCCTCTTCCTGCACTGGCCCCTCCTCTCCCTTGTGGCCCTGCCCCAGCACCGCCCATTTATGGTTTAGCCCCGCCCGTTTCTATTATGGCTCCTCCCCCTTCCGCTCTGGCCCCACCTCCTCTTGCTCAGGCTTGACTCCTCTGGGCACTCTGAGCTTGGGAGCTGGCAGCGGACAAAACAGAACTGACCACTCCCTCAGCAGGGCTTGTGCCCCCCTGACTGGGAGCACAACAGAGGGTTGGCCTCTGTCCCTCTGTTTTCCGAGGCTCTTTGGGCAAGAAAGCTGGAGGCCAGGGATGGGGGCACGTCTGACTCGTGTCCACGGCCTGCAGGGAAGATGCTCATCCTGGGCTCGCTGTTCAGCCTGGCGGAGCCGGTGCTCACCATCGCCGCTGCCCTCAGCGTGCAGTCGCCCTTCCCCCGCAGCGCCCAGAGCAACCCTGAGAGTTCAGGGACCCGGCGGAGCCTGGAGAGTGACCAGGGAGACCCATTCACGCTCTTCAATGTCTTCAACGCGTGGGTGCAGGTGAGTACTGGGCGCGGGCCAGCCCGCAGCCCGTCCTGTGGGTCGGGGGCCTCTGGGAGCTCCAGCCCCCAGTGTTGTCTCCCCGCTGCACACCAGGACACTAGCCCTGTAGGCTCAGGGCCTCTGTGCCTCTGCCCATTCCTGCGGGTTTGAGGCCTTGCACTGGCAGAGGGCAGGCTCCTGGGGCCAGTGTCCATCGCCTCCTCTCTGATTCAGCCTCTCCCGCCCTAGACAGGGCTTGGGGATCCAGTAGTGACCCCGCATTTGTCCCAGGCAGGGGAGGAGGTTCGGCCCTGGTCGGTCACCACCCAGAGTGTCAGCCATGGGAGTGCAAGGGACTAAGCACCCAGTGGAAATACCTGACTCAGTTCCTGGGTCTGGGAGGGCTTCCTCTTGGAGGGGGCAGTGGAGCCAGATCCTGGAAGGAGGAAGAGGGTGGATGTTCCAGCTGCCTTCTCAGTGGCCCTAGTTTGGCCTCAGCGGGACCTCTGTCCTCCCCTGGGCTCCCACGTGGCCAGGCCTCAGCACTCCAGCCTGTGTGTATCCGTCCCCCTGTCCAGGTGAAATCAGAACGGGGCAGCAACTCCCGCAAGTGGTGCCGCCGCCGGGGCATAGAGGAGCACAGGCTGTACGAGATGGCCAACCTTCGGCGCCAGTTCAGGGTGAGGGGTGGGATTGGGGCCACTGGAACTGGGTGTGGCCATTGGGGAGGGGGTGGCACCATCCGGAACAAGCTAGGCCACTGGGAGGGTCGGGGGCCCTCAGGAGGGGTGGGGCCACGGAAGGGAGGGGCATTGGGGAAGGGGCAGGGTCATCAGGGAGGTCTGGGTGGGCCCTGGAGAGTCTATCCACCTCCTGTTCTCCACCTCCTGGGGTTCTGGTCACGCCTCTGTGCTGGACACGGCCTTTTCCACTGGGTTCCCTGTTACTCCTGGTGCTATTCTGAGGTCCCCCACACACCCGGGAGCAGGTGCAGGTCAGAGTGGGCCCCTCGGGGATGGGACCCTCACCCCATCAGATGGACCCCCGCCCCCTGCAGAGGCCAGCCAGGTCATACAGCTCCTCGGGGCCCCCAGGCTCCAATTTCCACAGGAAGAAACTGGTTCAGAAGGGAAATTGAGGACAGTGGGTAGCCAAAGCCCCCCATCATCCCCTGCCACCCTTGTCCCTTTGTCCCTCACTCAACCTGCCCCCCCCCCCGTCCCCCAGGAGCTATTGGAGGACCACGGGCTGCTGGCGGGGGCCAGGGTGCCAGAGCAGGGGGACAGCTACAGCCGGCTGCAGGCTCGCAGGGAGCGCCGGGCCCTGTACCAGCTGAAGCGGCAGCATGACGCGGGTGGGGGACGCCGGCGCAAGGTCCTGCGGCTGGACGAGGGTCTGGACGGCGGCTCCAGCGATGAGGATCCTGATCGCAGGGCCACCGGGGGTACCGGTGACAGCGTGGACATCCAGGTGGGTGACTGGGGCGGGCCTGTCCTCACCCAAGGGCCAGTCGCTGGGATCTCTGAGCCCCCAGGAAGCCGCTGTTTCCCCCTCCCCCCCGCCAGGACGTTAAGTTCAAACTCCGGCACAGCCTGGATCAGCTGCAGGCGGCCGCGCGCTCGGCACAGGACCTGACACGGGACCAGCTGGCCCTGCTGAAGTTGGTGCTGGGCCGCGGCCTCTACCCCCAGCTCGCCCTCCCTGACCCCCTCAACAGCAGTCGGAAGGACTCGGACCAGGTGCGCCATCCCCCATCAGGCCCTCTGGGCTTCTCGGTCACTCAACAGGGACGACCCTGCCCTTGTGTGGCCCAGTGTCCAGTGAGGGCACAGACCATCCCCACTTTGACAGGGATGATGGAGCCCATTGGCTCGGGTTCCTGGAAGGGAACTTGACCTAGCCTGGGGGGGGGGGCCAGTAGAGCATCCAGGAGGAGGAAGCTCTGAGCTGTGACTGGAGGGAGCCTGGCCCAGAGGGCTGTGGGGAGGGAGGTACCACCCTGTCACGGCCACCTTTGTCCCCAGATCTTCCACACACGTGCCAAGCAGGGCGCTGTGCTACACCCCACCTGCGTCTTCACCAACAGCCCTGAGGTGCTGCACCCCCAGGAGCCGGAGGCTGCAGCTGAGGGGAGCCAAGGTAGGGTGAGCCAGACGGGCTGTGGGAACTGCCCCCAGATGAACCAGGACCCTGGTGTCACCCTAGGGCCACAGACAGCTCTTCTGGCAGCAGATTAGCACTGAGGCGCCTGGCCACTCCCAGCTCGGGGGTCGGGGTGACTGGCTGTGCTCGGGACCTGCGCTGGGAGGGTGAGTCCGGGCCTCCCTCAGCCGCTGCACTTCCCTGACCCGCAGGCGACAGGGGCCGGATGAGCAGCCGCCACCAGCTCCTCGCCTTCGTCTCCCTGCTAGAGACCACCAAGCCCTACCTAGTCAACTGTGTCCGCATACCCGCACTGCAGGTGAGCGGGGCGGGGGCAGGAGCAGGACCTCGCGCAGTTGGCAGGGGGGTGACTGGTGTGTGGTGTACGTGTGTAAGGGGTGTGTGTGGGGGTTGCACACGTGTGTGTGATTTATATGTATGCTCAGTGCCCAGATTAGTGTGTATGTGTGTATGTGTGAGGCATATAAAGTATGTGTACGCATGTGTATAATGTGTATATGGTGTGCATATGTGTGTGCATGTGGTGTGTGCATTTATGCATGTGGCACATGTGTGTATGTGCGTGTGTGGAATGTATGGATGTGATAATGTGTGTGTGTGCCTGTACGTGTGTATATGTGCATGTGGTGCGTGTATGCATATGTGTATATGTGTATGCATGTGGTACATGGGTTTGTGTGTGTGTGGCATTTTTGTGTATGTGTACATGTGATGTGTGTATGTGTGTGTGCATGTGGTGCATGTGTGTGGCGTGTGTGTGGCGTGTGCCCCCGTGCTTCTAGACCCCAGATCAGCCCATGGCACTCACTGTGGACTGGAGCCCAGGCCCATGTACCCTGTCTCAGGCCGAGCCCTGGTGCCCTGTGCCCTGGCAGGAGCCCTGCTGTGACCATGGCACAGAGGCTTGGGAGAAACCCTTGGGGCTCCCCCGCCAGGCCCCATCCCCCTACACGGTGATGGGGCGGCTTCTCGGACTGGACCACCCTGGCCTCTAGCTCCCCCCAGTGAAGCTGTCCCAAGAGCTGAAGGAAGAGACGGAGCAGGTCAGGGGCAGGGCGCAATGCCTCAGGGCCACAAGGAGGCTCCCGCCTTCAGAACCATCTAGAACATCTCTGTGGCCCTCATCAGCCTTGTGGGCGGGGCCTGTCTTGTCACCTGAGGCTCCAGGCCCAGTGATGTCTGGTTCAGGGATGGTGAGCGGCAGATGTCTGTGGGAGCTGGCGGGCAGACAGGAGGCGGATGGGCAGGTGGATGAACGAACAGAGGGTGGACAGACAGAGGTCAGAGGATGGGCATGTGGAGGGACAGACAGGTGGACAGGGGGATGGAAGTGAGTGGAGCGGCAGGTGCATGGACAGATGGGGGTGGGCAGGTGGATGGAGGTGGGTAGACGGACAGCTGGGTGGCGTGGGCAGGAGCCCAGCGGGGTAGGCTCTCAGCTGGCCTCCGTGTCGCTCACGCTGCTGTCCCCTTGTCCCAGTCCCTCCTGCTGTTCAGCTCCTCCCTGGACACCAACGGTGACTGCTCCCGCCTGGTGGCTGACGGCTGGCTGGAGCTGCAGCTCGCAGACACAGATGGCGCAGTCCGGCTGCTGGCAGCTTCGCTGCGGATCCGGGCCCGCTGGGAACGGGCCCTGGACCGGCAGCTGTCCCGCCAGGCCCGGGGACGGCGGCGGCACGAGGAGGAGGACGAGGAGGACGAGGAGGAGGAGGAGGCGGCCCTGGAGAACCGCAAAGAGGTGGCAGCTTTGAGCAGGGAGCTGCTGCAGTTCGCAGCCTCCAAGGTGAGTCTGGGTTCCGGGAGCGCCTGACGTGGGAGATGGCATCAGGGTGGGTGTTAGACCAGCCTAAACCAGGTTGGGTTTGGCTTGGACCAGCAGCCGGCGTCCCTGGACGTGCAGGGTGGCCTTCAGGCCCGGAGTCTCCAGGTGCTTGAGACTCTCCCCGCCTCTCTCCCACTCCTTTCTCCTCCCTCAGGTTCCCTACAGCCTTCGGCGGCTCACAGGGCTGGAAACCCAGAACCTCTATGTGGGACCTCAGACCGTCACGGCCACCCCGAGTCTCCCTGGCCTCTTTGGCAGCGCCCCCTTGTCTCCACACCCCACCAAAGGGGGCTACGCGGTCACCGACTTCCTCACCTACAACTGCCTTGCGGTGAGCAGGGCCCCCCTCAGACAAGGTTCCAGGGATCCCCTCCCTCCTACCAACTGCACTCCCTCTCAGGCCGCCGCTTCAGAGGGGCTGGCCTGTCCCCCACCCGCAGGGCTCTGGGGAGGGTCCTGGGCTGTGGGTGGGCGTGGGGCGGGCGGGCTGATCTGACTCCCCGTGCTGCAGAGCGACAGGGACCTGTACAGTGACTGTCTCCGCACCTTCTGGACCTGCCCGCACTGCGCCCTGCACATGCCCTTCACACCCCTGGAGCGCATGGCCCACGAGAACAGCTGCCCTGCAGCCCCGGACAGCACCCCAGGTGAGACCCCCGCTGTCCACGCACAGACCTCGCATCCTCTGCCCATCCCATCCCTTCTGTCCCCAGGCCTGGAGCTGGCACTGCCACGGCAGAGCCCTATGGGTCTGGCTCACGCTCCGGCCCACTGTCCCTCTGGTCTGTTTCTTGCCTCTCTTGACCTCTCTCTCATCCAGGAGAGCCACGGCCTGTAGCACCCAGCTCCCCAGTTTACAGAAGAGACAGCCTTCGGGTTACCCAGACCCCATCCAACGGCCACCTGTCTCCCTCTGTCTCATCCCCCAGGGCAATGAGTCAAGCCTTGCTCTGTGTGTGTGTGTGTGTGTGTGTGTGTGTGTGTAGGAAGGCTTCCTGGAGGAGGCAAGACTGGCTGGGGAGAATTGCAGGTTGTGTGTGTGTGTGTATATGTGTGTGTGTGTGTGTGTGTGTGTGTGTAGGAAGGCTTCCTGGAGGAGGCAAGACTGGCTGGGGAGAATTGCAGGTTGTGTGTGTGTGTGTGTGTGTGTAGGAAGGCTTCCTGGAGGAAGCAAGACTGGCTGGGGAGAATTGCAGGTTGTGTGTGTGTGTGTGTATGTGTGTGTGTGTGTGTGTGTGTGTGTGTGTGTGTGTGTGTAGGAAGGCTTCCTGGAGGAGGCAAGACTGGCTGGGGAGAATTGCAGGTTGTGTGTGTGTGTGTGTGTAGGAAGGCTTCCTGGAGGAGGCAAGACTGGCTGGGGAGAATTGCAGGTTGTGTGTGTGTGTGTGTGTAGGAAGGCTTCCTGGAGGAGGCAAGACTGGCTGGGGAGAATTGCAGGTTGTGTGTGTGTGTGTGTGTGTGTGTGTGTGTGTGTGTGTGTGTGTAGGAAGGCTTCCTGGAGGAAGCAAGACTGGCTGGGGAGAATTGCAGGTTGTGTGTGTGTGTGTATATGTGTGTGTGTGTATATGTGTGTGTGTGTGTGTGTGTGTGTAGGAAGGCTTCCTGGAGGAGGCAAGACTGGCTGGGGAGAATTGCAGGTTGTGTGTGTGTGTGTATATGTGTGTGTGTGTGTGTGTGTGTGTGTGTGTGTGTGTGTAGGAAGGCTTCCTGGAGGAGGCCAGGCTGGCTGGGGAGAATTGCAGGTTGTGTGTGTGTGTGTATGTGTGTGTGTGTAGAAAGGCTTCCTGGAGGAGGCAAGGCCTGGGGAGAACTGCAGGGTCCCACTATGCCGGGGGCTTTGATGTCCAGTGCAGGAGTGCCTCCCCCACGGTCTCCCTCTGCTCTTCCCTAGGGGCTGAGGATGTGGCCCCCGAGCCCCCACCGAAGACGTCTGCCCTGCAGAGGCCTTACCACTGCACGGAGTGTGGGCAGCACTTCCTGTTCACGCCCACCGAACTCCTGCGGCATCGCCGGCAGCATCTGAGCCAGAGCCGGGGGCCGGACTGAGGCCGCAGGGACCCCTCTGCTCCTGCCCTCCCTGCGTCAGAGTGGGGGTTCAGGCTGGGGATTCCCAGTCCTGGGGGTCCTGGCTGCTGAGCACCAGCCTGGCCCATCCCCATGCCCATGGGCCCCTGGCTGCCCCGCTTAGCCGCTCCTGGCAGAGTCCCTGCCACAAGTCGGGGGCAGCTCCGCCAACCTCCTTACCACCCGACCACCTCTCCCCTCAAAAGCCAGTCAAAAGACAGTCTGGCCGGGGCCCTGCTCCCCCTGCACCCCCAGCTACACCACGTGGCTTCCCCTCCCACACCCTTCAACCCCTTGCCTTGACTGAGCCCTGTACCCTTGACCCTAGTCCAGACCCACAGTCCACTTCTCAGTGATTTTGGGTTTCTTTGCCTTTTTTGTGTACCTGCAATGCTCAGGGGTTATCCCAGCTCTGTATTCAGGGATCACCATCGGTGGTGCTTGGGGGACCCTATGGGGTGCCGGTATCGAACCTGGGTCAGCAACATGCAAGGCAAATACCCTACCCGCTGTCCTATCACTCTGGCCCTACTGTTTTTTCGATTTTTTAGTAATTTTTATTTTGGGGGTCACCCAGCAGTGCTCAGGAATCACTTCTGGCAGGGCTCAGGCCCTCTCTGCAGTGCCAGGGAGTAAGCTTGGGTTGGCTGCATGCATGGCTGGCACCCCCTCCCCACGCCCAGTAACCCAATAAACCTTCTAGTCCATGCGCCCATTACTGCACAGTTGTCCTTCTGTCTGTCTGCTAGGGTTCTTTGCCAGCCGAGAAGCCTGAGCTTTATTCTCTGGGATCGTGCCCTCACACCCATCCGGCCCACTGCCCCGGAGGCAGGTTAGAGTCCATGCTCTCACCCCGGCCTCCATCCCTTTCCCGACTGCCCTGAACCCCCCAGCCACCTCTGCCCTGACGGGAGCGGGCGCCTCCTGCTCATTTCTGGTCAGCTTTCAAGTGGAAGCTCCTCAGGTGGTGGCAGCACGTGAGTCCCTGCTGCCAGTGTCCCCGGAGTGCAGCACTCAGGCCCCCCAGCACCAGCCCTTGGCTGGCGGACCTTCACCTCACACCCCACCTGCAGGAGGCCAAGGGCTGGAACATAGAGCCATGAATAAGCCCTGAGCATCGCTCAGGAGAGGAAGGCACCTGGTTTGACTTAGCTTTGGCGTGGGGCCAGCGTCAGCGACCAGCACTCGGTTGATGCAAATAAAGGACACATAGGAGGTGACTGGCCTCAAAAGTGCCCCGCTGGGCCAGCCCCTTCCTCTCCTCTTGGTCCCCCCAGTTTCCTCTCCACGGAAGGACTCAGGACTCAGAGCAGGTTACAGTCAGTTTACACTCAACAGTAAACTGAGTGTAGAGCCAGGAGTAACCCCTGAGCATCACCAGGTGTGGCACAAAAAAAAAAACCTAAAAAAATTTAAAATTGCCCAAGCAACACGGTAGTGGGACGCCTGCCTTGCGCACAGCTGACCTGGGTTCAATCCCCAGCACCCCATACGGGCCTCCACCAGGAGTGCGCAGAACAGAGCTATGAATAAGCCCTGAGCATCGCTGGGTATGAACCCCGAAAAGCATTTTCTGGTTTGGGGGCCACCCCCAGCAGTGCTCAGGGGGGCTCCTGGCAGTGCTCGGGGAAACATGCAGCAACAGTGCTCGAATCTGGGCCTCCTCCTGCTGTAGAGCCACTTCCCTGGGTCTGTGGTTTGTATTTATTTTTTCTGGGAGGGTCACACCCGGCGATGCACAGGGGTTACTCCTGGTTCATGCACTCAGGTAAAGGTAAAAGGTAAAGGCCCTCCCGTTGATCGTCGATTTGCTCGAGCGGGCCCAGTAACGTCTCCATTGGAGACTTTGTTGTTACTGTGTCTGGCATATCAAATACTCTCGGTAGCTTGCCGGGCTCTCCGAGAGGGGCAGAGGAATCGAACTCGGGTCGGCCATGTTGGCCGCTTGTAAGGCGAACGCCCTACCCGCTGTGCTATCGCTCAGAATTACTATATATGACTCCAGGCCCTTTCCCAGAACAAATTCTGTGTTTGTGCTTCCATCGTTCTCCCACAAGAGGGCGCCCCCGCTCCACCTGAAGCCAATCTGGGGAAAGTGGTCGCTGAGGGTGACCCTCAGCACCCGGGCAGTGGGGATGGGTGGAGGGGGCCAAGTGGGGCTTTCCTTGGCTGTTGGGAAGGGAAAGGAAGTTCCACACACATAGAACTGTGCCCCAGGGATGGAGAGACTGTAGAGGGGGAGGGTGCTCACTTGCATGAAGCCACGGGGTTCTGTCCATGGCACTCCATATGGTCCTCCAAGCCCCTCCAGGAGTGATCCCTGAGCACAGAATCAGGAGTAAATCCTGAGCAGCTGTGGTGTGATCCAATCCCCAACCAACCCAACCACCTCTCCCCTCAAAAGCGAATTGTGGTTAAGAGCATGTGGCTCAAAAGCCAGACTGCTGTGCAGCCTCAGACAAGATTACTCAACCTCTCTGTGCCTCTACTGGAAGGCTGCAGAGCATGTCAGTTTCGCTGGTTTGTTTTCAGGAGAAGAGAATGAGCGTGTGGAAGTCGAGCAGGAATCCAGGCCCTGAGCAAGTTCGGTGTCATAGCACAGCAGGTAGGGCACTTACTTGCACCAACCAACCTGGGTTTGATTCCCAGCACCCAGTATGGTTCTCCTTAGCCCACCAGGAGTAATCCTTAAGCACAGAGCCCAGAGTAAACCTTGAGTGCCAGGTGTGGCCCCAAAACCAAACAAAAAAAGGTATAACCATTTGCTGATGTGTAAACTAGCCCTAAATAAAATTGTTGGAAAAAACCCTCTACCCACCCCACAAAGGTGCCCTGCAGCCCCGTCTCACTCAAATTATTTTATTTGATGCCCAACCAAATATTTTCTATTTTTCAGGGACTAGAGAGATAGTACAGTGGGTATGGTGTTTGCCTCGCATATGTCTGAGCCGGGTTTGATCCCCAGCATCCCATATGGACACCTGTGCCCTGCCAGGAGTCTCCCTGGGTGCAGAGCCAGGAGTAAGCCCTGAACACCGCCAAGTGTGGCCCCCCCAAAAAATTTTAATTTTTCAAAGAAATAGCATCACAGTCAGTATTTAAGTCACTACCCGTGGCGCATTCGATATGCAAAAAAAAAGTAACAAGTCTCACAATGGAGGCGTTACTGGTGCCCGCTCGAGTAAATCGATGAACAACGGGAGGACAGTGATACAGTGCTACCTTGCATGTAGCTGACCCGAGTTTGATCCCCAGCACTGAATATGGTGCCTGAGCTTGAACTCAAACTAGGAGTGACACCCAGACATGCTTCATCATTGCTTGGGATATTTAGCAGGCAAGAAATACATGCTTCTGTGTGGGGGGTGGGTGGGTGGGGAGGAGGCAGGGGGTTGTGTGAAAAGTATAAAACATCTGGGTCCACCATGAATGTTTTTATTCTTCCTTTTGGATCACACCCGGCGATGCACATGGCTTACTCCTGGCTCTGCACTCAGGAATTACTCCTGGCGGTGCTCGGGGGACCATATGGGATGCTGGGAATCCAACCCGGGTCAGCCGCATGCAAGGCAAACACCCTAACCTCTGTGCTATCCAGCCCCCACCATGAATCTTAGGTCTCCTCCCAGACCCCCCCCCCCCCCCCGACTCCAAACAATAAATCTGGGGCTGGAGAAATAGCACAGCAGGGAAGGTGCTTGTTTTGCACATGGCCAAGCAGGGTTTGATCCTCAGCACCCTCAGCACCAAGTGTGGCCCCCAAATCAAAATCACAGTAAAAACTCATACCACCTTGGAAGGGTTCAAATAAAAATTAGTGCCCAAAGCAAATCATGTGGGCGGAGCGCTCAGACCTCGCCAGGAGAGACTACAGCGATAAAATGGAAGCGAGGGCTGGAGAGACAGCACAGCTGCCTTGCAGCCCCCCCGCCCCGGCCCGGGTTTGAATCCCTGGGACAGCTTAACCAGAGATGGGTTCATCTGGATGCCTGGGCCGTAGCCTCCCCCATGCTGAGAAGCAGCCAGCCAGGCGAGCACGTTGCTTTTTCAGTCTTGCTTTATCTTAGGGGCCACACCTGACAGAGCTCAGGGCTAACTCCTGGCTCTGTGCTCAGGGGTCGCTCCTGGAGGGGCTCATAGGTCTCTACGGGGTGCTGGGAATCAAACCTGGGTCAGCCTTGTGCAAGGCAGGTGCCTTCCCCACTGTGCTATGCTCCAGCCCTTCACTGTGATTTTAATTGCATTTCCCAGGTGAGTGATGATGTCAAGTATCCTTTCATGGACTTTATGGACCCGTTATCTCCCTTCTGCAGATGTTTTGTTATCGATTGGAATTATCATTGAATTGATTCATATGATACATAGTGTATGGCGTATACGCACTTTAAATATAAATACATCAGTTAAATATACGTATTGTGAAGATCTTCAAGTCTTGTTTTTGGGGGGTGGTGATTGAACCCAAGATCTCACTTGAGGTGTGTGGGGACTCGGTGGTGAACCAGTGCATAGTGAGGTGGCAGCAGGCCCTGGCTGTGCGATGTGGCCCCCTGATGACCTCAAGATTCTGAGTGGACATGCTGCATCCACGAGGTCCCGTGGCAAGTACACACAAACACGCTACCTCTGCATGGGCACAGAGGGTGCCAGCCTCTGCGTGGGGTACCCTTGGCCCTGGACTCAGGGGCCACATGCAGGGCCACAGGCAGGGCCGCCCCAGCACAATACAGGTGTGTGCGCACACAGTCACATACATACTGACACACGGTCACACACATGCTGACACAGTTACACACATGCACTGACACACACACAATGAAATGGTCACACACATGCTGACATAGTCACACGCATGCTGACATAGTCACATGTTGATACAGTCAAACTCATACACAGTCACACAAGCTGACAGTCACACACCGTGAAAGTCACATGTTGACACATAGTCATACACTGACAAGTTACACACACCGACAGTCACATACACACTGACACAGATTCACAGTCACACATGCTGACACACAGTTGTCACACACATGCTGACAGTCACACACGGTGATACAGTCACACATGCCTTAACACACATGCTGACACACATAGTCACACACATGCTGAGTCACACATGGTGATACAGTCACACATGCACTGACACACACATGCTGACACACGTAGTCACACACACTGACACAGCCACACACATGCTGATAGTTACACAAAACCACAGTCACACATACTGACACACCGACATACACACTGACACATTTGAGTCACACACACACACACTGACAGTCATGCCAACACACACACACTGAAGCCCCCAAGCCACCCTCCCTGCCAATGACCCCTCCCTCAGCAACATCCAATCACTGTGCAGGTGACCCCTGAACTTGGGGCCCGCTCACTGCTCACCCCAGGAGTGGGGAGGGAATTTTAGTTCTGATCAACCTCTCCCCTACCCCTTTCCTCCTGCTCCCCTCCTCCAAAGTAAGGGGCGGCACATCCAAAAGGTCTCTTTAGAGGAACTGGGTGGAGGGGTGGGGCGGGGAGAGAGGTGCCAGGCCCTCCTTGCCCACCTCCCCTGGGCCCTTACTTCTCAGCAAGGTGCCTGGACTCCTGCAGCCTCTCAGGCCAGCCCTGCTGGCACCAAATCTCAGCCTGCAAATCTTTAGTGTTTTCTTTTTTGTTTGCTTTTGAGTCACACACTACTGTGCTCAGGGGTTACTCTTGGCTCTGCACTCAGGAGTTACTTTTGGCGGTGTTCCAGGAGACCCTATGGGGTGCCAGGGACCAAACCCTGGTTGGCCACGTGCAAGGAAAATGCCCTCCCAGCTGTGCTATTTCTCCGGCCCCTTCTTTTCATTTCTGTGGGGACTATATTTGGGTAAGGTGCCAGGAACAGACAGGGTTTGCTCCTGGGCAGATGGAAAAGGGGACAGGAGAGCCTCAGGTTGGGGGGTCCCTCTCTGTTCCCTGTAAGCCTCTGGGTCTACCTCTAATGCTTCAGAGCTGAAACTGACCTCCTCTACCCTGGATCTGGGCAGTGGGGGACCAGGGTGGGCCAGACTGCTGCAGGGAGGTGGGCGGGGGCCTCCCAGGGGGGCAGCTGGTCGCTTCTGTGACCTCTGCTCCAGTGGGACCTCAGAAGGGGAACCCTGAGCCCATGTGGGCCACAGAGCCCGAGAGAGCCCTGCAGAAGCCACTGCGCAGCCTGTTAGAGTGGGATGGGCACCAGGTAGGAACATTAATTAAATTGGTCCCTTAATTCTCACCCCCCAGTAAGTACTTGCCTTGCCAGAAGTCAACCACGTCTTTGGTGCATTTTTTCGTTTGTTTGCTTTGCCACCCAGCAATGCTCAAGCAATGCTCAAGACTTACTCCTGGCTCTGCACTCAGGAATTATTCCTGGCAGTGCTTAGGGACCATATGAGGTGCTGGGGATCAAAACCGGGTTGGCTGCATGCAAGGCGAGCACCTTACCCGCTGTACTATTGTTCCAGTCCCAGTCAACCACATTTGATCCCAGCCCCCCACAAGGTCCCCAAGCACTGCTGGGAGTGATGCCTGAGCACAGAGCCAGAAGCAAGCCCTGAGCACTGCCAGGTGCGGCCCCCAAATCACCCCTGCAAGATAAATTCATGTAACCTGTGCAAAAGGTTACTAGTCAAACAGATAATAGGATGTGGAAGGGGGCGATAATAAGAAACAAAAGGGAGCCCCCAGCCAAGCAACTTCCTCTTGATTCCTCACTGGTCTTGGTGGAAGGCAGGAAGTGATGTTGTCGCCCACATGGCAAGTGGCCAAGGGAGTTGCTGGGCTACAGGTCTTGAGAGCCCCAGTGACATTATAGGAGCAGCAAACCCTGACCAGCGGCTCCCAGAATCTAGCCCAGCCCTCAAGCCCAGAAACCTCAGGCACAGGGAGGAGCAGGGCCAGGTGGACAGCACAGGAGTCACACTCTGGCCCAGGACAGTGAAGGGACAGGACGAGGGACGTCCCAAGGAAAGAGACCCAGACATTAAGGAGGGACCTACAACCAGCAACTCCAACTGGACAGTGCACTCTGACTTCATGAACAGCTGACGTTGTGAACGCAAACCCTTCATCTGTTCTCCAGGACCCAGCACTCAGGATAAAACCATTTTAGCATGCATGCTGCCCAGCTGAGCCGGCTGAAAGCACCAGCCCTGGGGCAGAGCACTAGTCCCGTGGGGTACGGCGTTTGCCTTTCGCGAAACCAACCCGTGTTCAATCCTGACATCCCCAAGCCTTGCCACAGGCGTAATCCAGGAGTGATTCCCAAATGCAGAGCTAGGAGTAAGCCCAAACACATCTGGGTGTGGCCGCAAAATAAAATACCAGCCTCAAGCTTAGGGAGCAGGCCTGGGGGGTGGGGGGGCGAGTGCAGGCTTTGCAAACTGCGGGGCGCCTCGGCTCCATCCGCAGCCCCCTGGCGTCCCCCCAGGACCATGAGAACAATCCCCAAGCCCCGAGCTGGGAGGAGCCCCCCAAGTGCCACAGGTATGACCTCCAAACAAACCAGAAACAGAACAGTGTGGGAACAGAGTGAAAGGGTCCTGGGCGTGTCCAGCCACAGTCACCAGGCTGACTCTTCCAGCAGCTGTCAGTGACCGATACACGCTGGGAGCGGCTAGGAGGGCCTGAGAACCAGCTCTGATGGCCATGAGCAACGCTGGAGCTTGAATGGATCAGGCTGGGAAGACACGGTAGTTCTAAGACTTTATCACTTAAAAAAAAGGTAGAAGCCATCCAAGACGGGAGGTAGGGAGAGCGGAGGGAAGTAGCGGGAAGGACAAAGGACCCTTCTCCCAGTGCCGGGACCCTCCTTCCTGGCTGCCCTGGTCCACCCCTGATCCCATCTCTGTTCAGGCAGTAGGGGGAGGGGTCCCATCACCGACTTCCTGGAGACCCGGGCTCAGCATCTTTCCTCGCCTCTTCAGGGGTGAGGGCAGAAGTGGGGCTCAGGTTTTTGTCCTTGAGAGACCCCCCATGGGCACCCTGTACCCCCAAGTCCAGGCAGGGCCCCAGGGAGGTAGGCATTGAGTAGCAGGAGCCTCCAGAGGCGGGGCCTGGAGGCCAGAGGCCAGGTGGGGATGTGGTCCAAGAGGAAGCCTGGTGGTCAGAGTCCAGAAGGTGGGATCTGCGGGAAGCAGGAGAGGCCAGTCAGCAGGTGGGGAGGGAAGGGACCTTGGAGACGAACAGGGATGGGGGTGGGGAGGTGGGTTGGAGCACCTGTCTGGGCTGCATGCAAAGCCTGAGGGTCTTTTGGGTTTTTCTTTTCTTTTTTGCTTTTTGGGTAACACTTCACAATGCTCAGGGGTTACTCCTGGCTCTGTGCTCAGGAATTATTCCTGGCGGTGCTTGGGGGACTCTAGGGGATGCTGGGGATCAAACCCATGTTGGCCACGTGCAAGGCAAACGCCCTCCCAGCTGGACTATCTCTCTGGCCCCTTGTCTGATCCTTAGCACCATGGGCTATGGCTGTCCCTCATGGTCCTTGGCTCTGCTGGTCTGATCATCTCTGTATGGGGCTCTTGGTCAGCACCAAGCATCCAACTGGCAGGGGCACAACCCCAGGCTGATTATCACCGGGAGCGATCCCAGGCTTCTAAGCCTTGCTGGGAAGTCTCTACCCCAAAAAACAAAGGGATGGGGGCTGGAGAGATAGCACAGTTGGTAGGGCGTTTGCCTTGCACGCAGCCAACCCGGATTCAATTCCCAGCACCCCATATGGTCTCCTGAGCACCGCCAGGAGTAACTCCTGAGTGCAGAGCCAGGAGTTATCCCTGTGCATCGCTGGGTGTGACTCAAAAAGAAAAAAACACCCAAAGGGATGGAGAAAAAGAAGGAGGCTGATGGTAAGGGACAGGGGATAAGACCGGTGAGGGGGAGGCTGGAGAAAGGGCATGTCAGAAAAAGACAAGCCAGAGACAGAAGGGCAGAAAAGTGGGGAGGGGTGGATGGATGGAAGGATGGGAAGATGGAGGGAAGGATGAGTGGATAGATGTACAAATGGCTGGATGGAAGGATGGACGATGAATGATGAGTGGAAGGATAAAGGATGAATGTATGCGGGCAAGCATAGGTAGGTAAGTAAATAAGCAGGTGAGCGGAGTCAGAGCGATAGTACAGCAGGTAGGGCATTTGCCTTGCTAGTTTGGTCCCCGGCATCCCAGAGGGTCCCCTGAACACCATCAGTAGTAATTCCTGAGTGCGGAGTCAGGAGCTTCGCTGACTGTGACACCCCCTCCACACACACACAAAAAAAGTAGGTGAGGGATCAGGAGATAGTACAGAGGCCAGAGTACATGCCTAAGCTGAGTCCAACTGAGGTTCAATTCCTGGCACCACCTGGTCCCCCTGAGCACTGCCAGGTGTGCCCAGCACTGCAGAGCCCAAGCATCCCAGCATCCCGGGCCCTGGCATTGAACCTCTGGCCAGGCTGGTTGAAAGTCTCCCTGCAGCTTTCAGCTGTCCTGAGCAATGCTGAGGAACCTGCCTGCAGGCATAGGTGGGTGCGTGGAGGGGAATGTGACCAGATGGGTCAATAAGGCAGTGGACAAAAGCCCAGGCAGGAGATGCTAGTGGGTGGGGACATGGTAGGAAGGGCAGAGGGTGGGTGGTGGGCAATCCCCAAAAGGAAAGACACACGGATGAATGGCTGGATGGAAAGACAGTGAGGGCTGAAGAGGTGAACGGACAACCTCCCTACCAAGTCTTGGGGAACCCGGACTGACCCTGTTCCGGGGAACCCACTCTGGATGGAAGTGGGCTGAGCAAGGTTTGAGTCACAGCACCCCACCTGCGTCCCCATGCGGGGGTTACTCACGTGTCCTGAATACAGCCTTACAGATAATGCCACTCCCCTTCCAAGTTCAGACTCATCCCCATGGATCCTGGAAGATGAAGATTAGTGGGCCCTTACCAGACATCTCGTATTCCCATAGGTCTGGTTGGCCCCGTTTTTCACCTGGGGGCCCCATATCAGGACAGATTGAGCGTCCTTTTCGGGAGGAAACACCCAGTGGTGCTCAGAGTTCCCTCCTGGCCCTGCAGTCAGGGATCTCTCCGGGGATGCTCAGGAGACCATATGGAACCCAGATCAGCCACGTGCAAGGTAAGCGCCCTCCCCGCTGTACTATCGCTTGGCCCCAAGTTCCAGTCTTTAAGAGAAAGTGGGGTCCTCTGGTCGGGGAGCTGGGCCTGGACCAAGTGAGATGCACTCCCAGGGGGCGTGGCCTGGCAGGCTGGGGGCGTGGCTTCACAGGGCAGGGTCTTACCAGGCTGCCTGACCGGCACGTGGGGCTGAGTCTCCGTGTAGCCCCCGATGGGCTGGCCCTCGGGGCTGAAGCCGGCACCCTGCCCTGTGAGGTAAGGGGAGGGGGGTGTTGAGGGGTGCAGGCTGGGCCTCCAGGGGGCCAGTACCCTAGGCCCGCCTCTCTCCCACCGTCGGTCCTTGCCTGTACGGTTGGACTGATCGATCATGGGTTGCACGATGCGTCTCCGGGCGTTGATGAACCTGAGGACCGGTCACGGAAGCAGGAGGATGTGGAAAGGGGAGAGGGGGGCTGGAGAGAGGCGGCGGGGCATCCGCAGAGGTGCAGAGCTCGCGGGGGAGACGGGGGGCGCGGTCACGGCACCAGCCCCGCCTCCTTCAGCACCGCGGACAGCGCCCTCCCCGCCCTGCCCGCCGCTCACCAGTTGTTCACTTGCAGGATGGTGAGTCCCGTGTCCTGGGCCAGCTGCTTCTTCTGCTCCTCCGATGGGTACGGGTGCTGCGGCCACCAGCAAGACTCACCCTGCCTTCCCGGGGCACCGGAGCCCCAAGGCCTGACCCCGCAGCCCCAGGATGCAGAGCCCAGGCTGTCAGGCAGCGGGCAGAAGCTTCTCCATTTCCCAGGGAACCTCCATGCAGGCTACTTCTAGGCTGACTGGCGGCCCCTCTGGGGGTTCCCCGCTAGGAAGGCAGCTTTGAGGGGGCAAGCCCAGCTCCATCCCCTCACGAGTGTGCTTGCCCTGGTCTCTCCATGCTCCGTTTTCTCTCTGTGATCTACTGTCTCTCTCTCCCTCCCTCCTCTTCATCTCTCTCACTCTTAATTATTATTATCGTTGTTGTTTTGAGGCCACATGCATTGATGCTCACGGCTTACTCCTGGCCCTGTGCTCAAAGATCACTCCTGCAGGGAGTCCAGGGGCCAGATGAGATGCCAAGAATTGAATCCAGGTTAGCCACATGCAAAGCAAGCACCCTACCAGCTATGCTACCTCTCCTGCCCTTACTCCAGTCCTTGATTCCTCTCCATATTTTGCTGCCTTTGTATCCATCTCTGGGTGCAGCAGTGTGGTGCTGTGCTTAAGGCCAGCCCACCCATCTGACCCCATGTCTAGCTGGGACACTACTAAGCCTGTCTCCTCCGCTGTGACATGGAAACACTCTCAGTCCTTCTGCTGGAACGCAGGCTTCGGCAGGGTTCTTTCACCAATGCCTAATGGCTCCCCAGGCACTGAGGATCCCCTGAGCACCGCTGGTGTGGGGAGCCCCCAAAAGAGATCCCTTTTATTCCAGGGGCGTTGGGCTGGTTGGAGGGTGTGAATGGGGCAAAGAACAAAGGCTTCAAGAACTGCCAGCAAAGCTCAAAGAGGCAAACACTGCTCTGCATGCAGGATGCCCGGGTTCCAGCACTGCACGGTCCCCTGAGCACCAAGCTGAGAGCAGGCCCTGAGCATGGCTGGGTGTGGCCTTCAAATCAAAAGAACTCTTGGGGCTCGAAGATTTAAAGCTGGAAACAACTGTATTATGAAAAATTCAGTAAATCACAGTGTTACAAGAAAAAAATTAAGGGTCTGGAGAAATAGTACAGCAGAGAGGGTGTTTTCCTTGCACATGGCCGACCCGGATTTGATCCCCGGAATCCCATAGGGTCCTCCAAGCACTGCCAGGAGTAATACCTGAGGGCAGAGCTTGGAGTAACCCTTGATCACCACCAGGTGTGGCCCCAAAACAAACAAAAACACCAAAAAAGTAATAATAAGTTGAAGACAAAAGAATCCTCACCAGCACCTGCCTGGGGGTGGGGTGAGGGGGGTTGTCTCCGCCATGGTGCTCTCAACAGCGCCACCTGCTGGATATTTGCCCTCAGACTCCCCGAGGCTCCCATCTGCAGGCCGGCTGCAGCCAGCCCAGGGTTCTCACCGAAAGATGCTGGAATAGCCACGCCCTCATGATATTGGTGGCCACCTTGGGAAAGATCCCCCTTTTCTTGTTCCGCCGCCGCTCCTGGTCTGCGTCCTCATCCTCGCCTCCAGAACTGGGGGAGGCCACACTGGCATCCAGCCCATCTCCTGGTGGGGGTGAGAACAGGCTGGACCAGGGAGGCCAGGACACATGTGCAAGATATACCCCACCCTACTCCATCCTTGCTCCTTGGGACCCCCCCTGCCGTTTCTACTTTACCTCCCCCTTTCCCACCTCCCTTGTTTCTCACCTTGGTCACTGGAATTGTCCCCACTTTGAGAAGCCAGGCCCCCGCTGGAGGGGCCCGGGGTCCCCAAATGTGCAGACCCGCTGTCTTCCTGGTCTCTGATCCATGTGTTATTCTGGAAAACAAGTGTTGGGCATCAACCACTCTCAAGCTAGGGACAGTCCTGTATGGACCATCTTGAGCTCCATCCTGGTTGTATGATCTTGGAAAAATCACTTTGCCTCCGTGTCTCCCGTTTTAAATCAAGGATGAGAGGGTCCTGCACTCCTCCTTGGCTCCCAAGAGTATGCAGGAAGAGTTTATTTCTGTAAAGTCACAGAACCATGGCTCACAAAAGTGGAGCTCTCTGGTCTTTTAGCTAAACCCTCAGTAGGGAGTTGGGGAGGGTGGGGGCTGGAGAGGGCTCCTGCGGTGTCCAGGACTCAGAATTTCCTTGCTCTGCCCGGAGCGAACCCCGCAGCGCACACACCACACATCCCCAGCGGGGGTACGGCCCTGGCACCAGACTCATTAACATTTCTGCCACCAAGTGGATGAATATGTAACTAAGTGAAAGAAGTAAAGACTATAAATAGTTCCCTCATTAGTTCAGGTCAGATTTCACTGCCAAGTGAGACTGCAAGAAACTTGACAGGCAAGGGCCGGAGCGATAGTACAGCGGGTAGGGTGTTTGCCTTGCATGCAGCCGACCTGGGTTCGATCCCCGGCATCCCATAAGGTTCCCCAAGCACTGCCAGGAGTTATTCCTGAATGCAAAGCCAGGAGTAACCCTTGAGCATTACTGGGTGTGACCCAAATAAGAAGAAAAAAAAAACTTGATAGGCAAAGAAAACCTTTCGGTTATCACAGGTCTGGGGTCACAGACAGGGTTCCACACAGAGGAAGTGACAGTGCGTAGCCAGAGGACAACAGAGGAAGGGGACAGGTCTTGCACGTGATCGACCCCAGTTCAACCTCTGGCACTACACATGGTGCCCTGAGTCCTTCCAGGAGTGACCCACCCATACTACAGTCACTGCTCTGGGGATAGGCCAAGGACACCCTGAGGACCCTGCAGTGGGTACTCACTGCTACATCTGATTGGACACATTCCTCTTTGGGTCCCCCACACTCCACACCCCAGCCCCATGCAGCCCAGGTGATCGATCAGTCAGGTGGGAAGGGAGCACCGGGCTTAGCCAGAACAAGCATCTGTCTCCCCGCACCCACATCTGGCTCCTGGCAATCGAAACCAAAGAAGAAAACCCTGCGGCCATTGTGGGCAGCTGAGCCTCCCAGTCACCCCAGGCCCTCCCACAGGGGCCTGTCTGTACTGCCCACGACACCACACTCAAGTCCCCAGAGTCCCCAGGTCTGGGCAGGGCTCGGGTCTGAGCATATATGTGGGCAGAGGTGGATGTGTGTGTGAGTGGGGAATGTGGGTGTGTGTGCATGTGTCTGTGGGTGAACGTGGGGTGCTGTCTCCCACTGCAGCTGGTGGGGCTGTTGGGAGTTGGTGTGTGTCCTAGGTCAGGCACCAGGATGCCTCCGCTGGGAGCCCACCTGCTCTGGGAGGCTGGGGCAGGGGGCCGGGTACTCCTCCAGGTCCTCCCTGCAGCCGCCGATGTCCCGGTCCTCGATGGCCAGGTCGATGGGCATCTTCCCCTTGAGGCAGGTGATGTAGCGGTGACAGAAGTTGTCGCACAGGTCGTGGACCTGGGGGGGCACCGGGGTACTGGGGGGGCCACCCGGGGGCCAGGGCCGGGTGCGCAGGGCGGGGGCAGCTGGGAGCGCCTGCAGTGAGGGCGGGTGGGGGGGCATCACTCACCTTCTCCAGCTCCAGCAGGTGGAACCGGAGTACCTGGATGGCCTGGATCATCTGAGCAGGAGGGGAGGCCGGGGAAGAGGAGCACAAAGACGAAAACGGAAAGGAGAGAGGCAGAAATAAGGGGAGCAAGCGTGTGTCAGAGTGAGAGACAAAGGAGAAACAAGAAGCAGGAGAGAAAGAAAAGCGCCCAGTCCCAGCAAGGGACCTCGTCGGGTTTTAAAAACAAAACAAAACAAAAACTACCCCACCCGTGGCTGAAAACTACATTTCCCAGAAGCCTTTGCAACAGGGGTTGGCCAATGGGAAGACCTGGGAGTCTGTGGAGCTCTAGGGAAGGGCGAGGCCAGTCCCTTCTCCCTCTCTGGCCAGTCCTTTGGTCATCTCCATGACCACCCAGTCCCCACATTACTCGGAAGTGAGTGTTAAGACTGTGCCCGCATCATCATTCCAAGAGCCTGATACTCTGGAGCTCAAGTGCTCCCCACAATTCTATCACTGAGGGTTCGCCTTGAAGAGGCCAGAGAGGTCCTGGGTCACCCTTTGCCCTGTCACACGAAGCCCACTGGGATCTAAAACCAGCCCCCCCCCATCCTCCTTCTCAAACTCAGGTTATGCTGCAGCACTCTCATCCATGTGTGCTGTGTAGACACGGAGGGCTCCGGGCAGCCCAGCAGACAGGGCCAGAGGTCCAGGTCCTTGCAGGTCTGAGTGATGTTTGTGTACAGCTCAGAGCCCCCAGGAGAGCGCAGACATAATTTTGCTGCTACGGGAGTGTCCGACTCTAGCGATTTGCTCTACCATATATTCCGCTCAACTTTACCGACATTCTTACTGCGGGGGGTGGTCTGGCTCGGGCCCCTGACAAGGGGTGTGGGGGCGAGCGTGTCGCGGAATTAGGTCTCACCAGATTGTCCAGCTCCGGGTTGGAGGAGAAGAGGGGTCTCTCAGAGCGGACCTGGGGGACACAGGCAGGAAGGCACATGCAGGCTCCCGCCTGCCCTGGCCGGGGGCTCCCATGGCCCAGCAGGGTGGATGGGGGTGGTACATACCTGCTTGGCAAAGGCTGCAATGTCCTCATTGAAGGAGTCAGAGGAACAGACGTCGCTGCCCAGAGGTGTGCCCAGCCCAGCGCTGGCCCCATCACGGGGTGAGCACGTGGCCAGTTCACACTTCTCAAAGACCAGGGCCAGCAGCGGGAAGAGGGGGTGTCTGTGGGGAACAGGAGCAGAGCAAGCTCTTGAAGGAAGGATGGGGACATGAGTGCGGCTGGGAGGGAGATGGGGGAGCCAGAGAGAAGAAACGGAAACAGAGGGGGCTGGAGACTGCTGCGGGTGTCAGTGGCTGAACCCACCCAGCATGCAGGAGTTTGGTCCCTGGGAACATGCCACCTCTGGGCTGACTTTACACACCACAACCCCCACCTGAGCACCAAACTGCCCAGCCCAATTAGCTAAGGATCCCGGTACGTGGCCCTGGAGCCCCCAAAGCACTGCTTGGAAGTCCCCCAAAAGCGATGGAGACAGAGAGAGGCGGTGACAGAGACACAGGAAGAAAGAAGACCAGTCTGGACAAAGGGGCTGGGCACCTTCACTCACCCATAAATCTCATCTTTCTCCCTCTTCAAGCTGTCACTGTCCAAGCTGGAGGCTTGGGGCGGCCGGCGGGGGCCGTAGGGGCCGGGGCCCCTGGGTGCCGAGAGCGCTGCCTCCGAGAAACTGGCCAGGGCTGAGGTGCTGTCCACGATGCCTGGGTATTGAGGCAGTTCATCATACTGGGGAGGGAGGGACCCAGACATTCAGCTGAGGATCAGAGATGCCAAACCCGCTTCCCAGGAACACACCTGGACCTTCCCAAACCCCCAGGGTCCTTCTGTCCTGGCTTCCTGGGGGCCCGAAGGTCATGTCCTATGATTTTCTCCTGCACCCCTGCATGCATCAGCATTTCCCACATTTGTGGAGAGGGTCCAGAGAGGAGACGCCAATTGTGGTCTCAGATCTCGGGGGTTAGGATAATGAGGGCGTCCAGAGTTACTATCTGGTCACAGTGAGTGTGTGGGGGATGAGAAAAATGAAGAAAGACTTGGGATGGAGGAAGGGAGATTTGGGGAGTAGATGGAGGAAAGGCAAAGGAATAAAGAATAGGCAGAGCAATCGAGAGAGAAGGAGAGGAAGAGAGAGGATGAGAGACAGGGGGGGGGGGGAGAGAGAAAGATTCTCACTCCTGAACTCATCCCCTGAAGAGCTGAATTGCCGGTACACAACTGCTCACATCCCAACTCCAAAACTTTGACTTCATTTCACAGCTGTCAAAAACACGTGTCTGAGTCTTTATAATCTGTCATACCCGACTCGGCAAGGGCCTCCCTCTCGTACTCCCCATGTGTACACACACACACACACACACACACACACACACACTCACACATAAACACGTACACACATCACAGACACACATACACACACACACTCACACACAGACACACATACACACATCACAGACACACATACACACACACTCACACACACAGAACCAAACACCTCCCAGACCGGAAGGACAGTGCACAGGGCATGCAGAAACAAATGAATGAATGAGTGAAGCCCAGGTGGAGCAGTGGGAACCTCCATGGGATGGGCAGACGGACAGACAGAAGCCACGCCTGTACCATCTCACAGACCCTCAGGACAGATGCCCCTTGGAGTTTTGTGGGTGCTGTTGCTGCAGGAGCTCATGTACGGGGGTGCTGGGGCCTTTGGTCAACCCCCCTCCCTTACATGAGAAAGCTGGGGAGGGGGGCGCAGAGGGCTGCGACTCTTATGCCACCCTCACTTCTCTCAACTCAGCCCTCGGCTTCCCACCGGACACAGCCTGGGCCCCCATCCTGCCTCCACCTCCTCACCCCCATCTCTTCAACCGCTGGCCTAGAGACCCTGAAGCCCTAGCCTGGGTAGACCCTCTCCCCAAATGTTCCCGTCCCTCAGTCCCCACCTCTCCCCTCAGAAGGAACAAAAGTAGATCACAGATTGGGGAGAAAGGCTGGGGCAGGACAGAGGAGGGAGGGGTCTAAGAAGGAGAGGAGGGGGGTGGAGGGGGACTGGAGAATGAGAGGGGTAAGCGGGGACAGGGGGGCTTGGGGACACAGGGGCAGAGAGAGAGGGATGGGGATACAGAGGGGGCACACAGGGACAGCGGGGGGGGGTGTACGCAGAGACAGAGAGAGAGGGTACCTGGGGAGAGAGGGGAAAGCCGGGGACAGAGAGGGGGGACTTGGGGACAGAGTGGGGAGAGCCGGGGCCAGACAGGAGAGACCCGGGTCAGAGAGGAGAGACCCGAGGACAGAGAGGGGAGAGCTGGGGACAGAGAGGAGGGAGCCCGGGGAGAGCTGGGGACAGAGAGGGGGGAACCCAGGGACAGAGGCGGAGGGACAGGGCGCGGACACACAAGGCTGGAGCAGAGGGCGCGGGGCGCCGAGAGGCGGAGCTGAGCGCCGGGCCGAGAAGACCGGCTGGGGCGCCGGGGTCCCCGCCAGACCTACCCTCCGGGCCATGGGCTGATGCCGGCCGCAGCTCCGGGGTCCGTCCTGGGCCCGGCCCGCGGGGAGCGCGCAGCCGGGGGCAGTGGCCCCCCAGGGCCCGCGGTGCCGACGCCAGGGGGGTGGGGCAGGAGGCTGGGGGCCCGGCCCCCCACCCCCACCGCCGTCAGCGGCAGGCGCCGGGCAGCCGGGGGTCTCCGAGCATGGACCCCCAGCCCCCTCCCCCCGCGGGGGGTCACGGCGAGGGACGCATGCCTGCAGGGAGGGTGAGAGCGGGCGGAGAGGGTCACCAGAGGCCCCCTCCCTGGGGTCCGGGGGGAATCGGACCAGCCTGAGACCGACCAAGAGCGCGCGGGGGGCGCGGGGCGCGGGGCGCGCGGGAGGCGCGGGGTGCGGGGGCCCGGCCTCTGCTCTGCTCGCTCCCTCCGCTGCCGGCTGGCAGGCGCCGCTCTTACATCCGGAAGTTGCACCGCGGAGATGCTGGAGCGGGGGACGGCGGGGAGCCCCGCCCCGCACCCCGCCCCGCCCCGCAGCTCCCCGCCCCGCCCGCCGCTGGGCTCCCGCTCCCCCGCGCCCCCATCGCTCCCCGCCCCGGAGTCCCACACGCTGGCCCTCGCCCTGTCCTCCCCTGCGGAGACAAGTAGTCCGGGGCTATGGCCTGTGCGTGCGCCCGTGCGTGTGCGTGCGAGTGTGTGTCTGTGCGTGTCTGTGTGTGTGTCTGTGTGTGTCTGTGTGTGCCACTGTGTGTCTGTGTGGGATGTGAATGGCTGTGAGCGTGACCGTGGCTATCGGGTCTGGCTCTGACTAGGGTGAGGGTTGTGTCTGTCTGTCTGTCCGAGTTTGCACAGACTTTGGGCTTTTGGTGTCTCCACGTGCATGCCTGGAGGAAGCACTGTCCCTCCTGCCTTGCCAGAGATTTTCCCCCCTGAACCCCCTCACCTACTCTCAGGGAGGATGGGGTGAATTGGGGTGACTTGGGGTGGCGGGTGTTCCAGGTGACTGGCATGTGGGGCGTGTGCCCACGTGGGAAGGACTCACAACAGGCTTTCCAAGATGAAGATCTGGGCAAGGCAAATGGACATGTACAGCGGGATCGGGGATGGGTGCGGCGATGCTCACCTGTGTGTGAGACTCCGCTCGGATTCGGGCACTGTGCTCTCAGGCATGTGTGCGTGTGCATGCCCTGTGCTGGTTGGTGTTCTGATATACAGCAGGGGACTAGGCACAAACTTCTGGACCCTAAGGGGCAACCTTCTAGGTGGAGGAGGTGGAGGAGAAAGACTAGTAAAAGAAAAATGTCAGGCTGGAGAGACAGCAGGTAAGGCGCTTGCTTTGCAAACGGTGACGGGGGGCTTGGTCCCAGGCCCAGCATCTCATCATAGTCCTCTGAGTTGCTCTAGGAGTGACTAGAGTGCAGAACCAGGAGTAATCCTGAGCATCACCAGGTGTGGCCAAAAAAGAAAGTGTGTGTGGGTTGGGGGCATGGGGGGGAGGAAGGAATGAAGGGTTAAGTACAAAACAATGTCTAGAAGTGACATGAGCTCTGAGACAGAGCAGGGACACCTCAGGGGAGGTGACTTCCCAGAAGGCACTTGAATATGAGGGAGCTAGTCATGCTGATGTGGGGGTGATCGTTTGAGTAGGGGACTGAAGGTGCAAATGCCCTGGGGCAGGAATGTGCAGCTGTGCTGGAGAAGCAGGAAGGCCAGTAGACCCAGGAGGGGACTGGGGACAAGACAGGTGTCTGGGATATACTCACTACTGCTGAGATCGCCACTAGTGTTCTCAGAGTGCATATATGCAGTGTGTGTGTGTGTGTGGTGCAGAGTCAGTGAGTGGCTAGCAGGAGGCCTGGGAATGTTAGTTGCTGGGCTCAGTGGGCTTGGTGCCAGGGTGATTTTCCCTAGAGACACCAGGATTTTTATTCTGTTCTCACACTTGGCTACTTGACTCTCCAAAGTCATGAGCCTTGACCACAGAGGGTGTCACCAAAGAGAAACCTAAAGCTCTCTGCGTTTCTGTCCCCTCAACTCTCGGGTCTGTCCCTCTATGTGGGTCTCTATCCCCCCATTCTCTGGATCTGAGGTTTTGGGGGACAGGGCAGAGACTTGGGGGACAGGGCAGCCAGGTGGGTTAGCGGGAAAGTGCAGCCTTACATGCACCCCCCCACACACACACAGAGACGTGCAGACATGCATGCACACACTCTGTGCACACACAGACATATACCACATGTTCACATAGGCACAGACACACAGGCATACATGCACACACATACACACAGGCACATGACACACACATGCACACATATGCATCAACACCAAAACACCCGTGTGCGCATATATACCACATGTGCAGGCATAAGCACAACAGCAAGACCTCAGATCCAGAGAATGGGGGGACAGAGACCCACATAGAGACAGAGACAGACCTGAGAGCTGAGGGGACAGAAAGGCAGAGAGCAAGGGGGGGGGTGGAGAGGAGAGAGAGAGAGAGAGAGAGAGAGAGAGAGAGAGAGAGAGAGAGGGAGGTGGGGGAAAGAGGATCTGCTGGATGCCCTAAAGGCATAGTTTAGACAGCCATAAACACCCCATAATCAGCACTAACTCCTGCTACTCAAGGAGGAAGGGCTTGGACTTCTGGGCATCAATCTTAATCACCTGCCAGCCCTGGAAATTGGAACAAAATCTCCCCGCTCCACCCTCTACCCTCTCTGACCCTGTCTCGCCACCTTCCGGTGGGCAGTGTGCTTGGGGGTGATGAGGAAGCAGCTAAATCAGGGTGCCTAGGCTCTGGGGGCCCGGTTAACTGCCCCACCAAATAATCTCAGCACACTGGCCCTTTAAGAAAGATGGAGGGGAAGTCCCTGCCCCCCCACTTTAATCACTGCTACAGGATCCCCACCCCACCCCCCAGATAGGGGTTTTGGAGCAGAAAATTAATTTAAATCACTTTTTAATTAAAGAAGCCAAGCTCTTCTGTGGACCCCCCTACACAGACACACAGGGCCCTCTGTGGACCCCCTACACACACACCACCCTCTGTGGACACCCCCTACACACACACTGCCCTCTGTGGACCTCCCTATATGAACACACACATACACAAACACACACCCTCCACCCCCTGTGGACCCCGCCCTCAGAGGCTCAGAGCAGGGGAACCCGAGGTCTAGGTTGCGGCCCTGCCTGGCCTATGGGGGTGGGAGGCTCAGCCCCCTCATACCCAAGCTGATCCTGAAAAACAGGGTGCCAGGCAGTCCCAGGGTGTGTGTGTGATGTACAGCAGTGTAATGAGGGGGTGTGACTTGGAGAAAGCCTGGGAGAAGGAAAGGGGGTGGAGTTGGGGGGAGGGAGGGAGGGAGGAAGGGGGTGGTGCACAGAGACTGTTTTCTTCCAGGGCTCTGAGCCAGGAAGGACCCCACCCCCCCAAATCAAGAAGGAAGTGCTTGGACTCCTGGGCATCAATCTTAATTAAAGAGAGGGAGGTTTGGGGAGGGGAAGTATACATGGGAGAAAAACTAGGATGAAGGCAGGGGTTGAGGGTGAATGAGGGTGAAGAGGGGGATCTCCTTCTTTCCCTCTGCTCACTGTCTCTCTCTCTCTCTCTCTCTCTCACACACACACACACACACACACGGGGCATGACCCCTAGCCATGCCCCCACCGCCTGCCCAGGCTCCCTGTCTTGGCTACCAGTCCCCACAAACCTGCCCACACCCCTGGCACTGACCCCCCCCCCCCGTGTGCACACAAAGCTGGAGGGGCGGGTGTCTCACTCACTCTGCCTCAGTTTCCCTTCCTCCCCAGCTCTGTATCTTCTCTCTCCTGTTCCATCTTGCCTCTGCCCCTTGTCCCTGCCCACAACGCCTCGTCCCTCTCTAAGAGGGGCGGGGGTGGGGGGCTCTGTGTGTCTGTTTGGTTGTGGGTGGGATGTCTTTCTCTGGAAGATTTCTCCGTCTTGGTTTCTCTTGGTCTCTCCCTCCCCCACTGCCCTCTTCTCTCTGTCTCTTTCTGTCTCTCTGTCTCTCTCTCTCTCTCTCTGGGGACCTCCAGCTCTTGCCTTTGTGTGTCCACCCCTCTCCCCCTCTGCAGCTGGCTGCCTCTCTCACTCCCCCCGTCCTGGGTCTCCGGGTTTCTGTATCTCTCCTGGCTCCCCCACCCCCACCCCACGGCCCCATGCCTCGAGCAGAGACATCGCCCCGAATCCCCCCACTTCCCACCCCCACCTCCACCCGGCCTGGCCCTGCTCCAGGAGCAGGAAACATTTATCTTGCTGGGCCTCGCAGGCCGGGGCCATCCATCACCCGAGCTGGTGACACGACACCAGCCGCTCCTCGGTCCCCGCCGCCCGCCGCCCGCCGCGCAAACGCACCATTGGCCCGCGCCCGGCGGGGGCGGGGCCAGGCCGGGAGGGGCGGGGCAGAGTGTCCACGCCCCCGCCTTTCTCTTCTGCTTCTCCGCCTTACCGGCTCTCTGCAGCTCCTCCTCCTCCTCCTCCTCCTCCTCCTCCTCCTCCTCCTCCTCCTCCTCCTCCTCCTCCTCCTCCTCCTCCTCCTCCTCCTCCTCCTCCTCCTCCTCCTCCTCCTCCTCCTCTCTCGCTCCGTTCCCCCGCCCTCCCTCTGTCTGTCTGTCTGTCTGTCTGCTGTCTGTCTGTCTGTCTGTCTCTCTCGTTTTTTGGGGGGGGCCACATCTGGCGATGCTCAGGGGTTACTCCTGGCTCTGTACTCAGGAATCACTCTTGGCAGCTCAGGGAACCCTGTGGGATGCCGGACAATTGAACCTGGGTCAGCCGTTTGCAAGGCAAACATCCTCGGGCCCCTCCTTCCCCCCCCCCCCCCGCCCCCGATTTTGGCCCACACTTGGTGATGGCTCCTCTCACCTCTGTGCTTGGAGGGTTCTCCTTGATGGTGCTTGAGAAGCAAGTGGTTCTGGGATTCAAACAGGGCCTCCTGTGTGCAACGAATGTGCTCAATACACTGAGCAGCTCTCCCTGGCCCTTCCTCCTCCTCCTCTCCCCCACTTTCTCTCTCTGTGCGGCTCTTCTCTCCTGCGTTTCTCCCTCTACCTTTGTCTCTTGGGATGAAGCGTCGCTCAAGTTCTGTCTCTCAGTCTGTCTTCCCTCTGAGCTCCCCCCCCACACCAACCCCTCCCCCCCCCCCCCCCCCCCCCGCCTTAATTCCCTGCTCCCCTCCTTCTATCCTTACTTCCTTCTAGCTCTAGCTCTGGGCTGAGGCTTCTCACCAGCTTCTGTGTGGTTGGGGCAAAGACTGCTTGAACCCTTGCTAGGAACTCTGGGTCATGAGTCCCTATGTGGTGACATCTCTCAACGTGAGGATCATGGAAAATATGGTCACAGTGAAAAGTTTGGGGAACAGCACCTCTGCCAGAGCTTGGGGACGACTCTGGGCTGTGTGGAAGGCTTGCCCCTGGCAGTCATGGTGCACAGAGGCATATGGGATGCCAGGGATCAAACCTGGATCCAGCCGGGTGCAAGGAGAATGACCTCCCCACTGTGTTATGGCTCTGGCCCTCTTGTCACACTCGTCACAGGAGCACTAACAGCACAGCCAGCCACAGGAG